TATTATCCATTCACTTTAATTTATCCATACCATCCATACTGTAAAATTAAATTTTTGTAATCGTATAGGTTGCGTAATAATGTGGCATTAAATTAATACACGGATATTGAGAAATCAGGGCACGAGATTAGTGTTTTTCAGTAAAAAAATTAAAAGCACTGCACGACAAACAAGGAACTAGTCCAACCAGTTAAAGCAGTCACATGCCTACTGTTTTATTGCACAGCTTCGTTGTGGTTTATTCTCCTTATCATCAATGGCCTTAAAGAATTTAGGATATGTGCACAGTGCCCTTCTTGTGTTCATGAAATGATACATTAAAGCTAAAAACTTATGATAGGAGAACACAAACACCTAAAACAGAATCCATATATCTCTTTTTATGTTTATCCTCAAAATTTGTACATACCGCGATGCAGCCTTGAGTTGTTGAACCATCATGGCGTTGATTCTGCCAGGATCATTCATGATCTCCTGAATTTCACACACACTACATTTAAACCACATTCTTATAAAAGCATGAAAGCAGAAAATTTTTGATATGGCAATTTTAAGTGGTATCATCAACAACCTTAAAAACACCCTCTCTGGAATTTTGATTGGTACCCACCAAACCTTGTTCTTTATTATCATTCTTGCCCTGCTCAGCCACTTTAAGACCCACTGTAGGCTATGCTTCCGTTCTAAGCTATAGTGCCTCTGTTCTAGGCTATAATGCCATGTTTTAGAGATTTTGATATAATCCCTTTTTTATTTTCAATAATAATCTCTAATTTCCATAAAAAAAATAAAGTAGTTCTATAAATTAATTAAGTTTAGAGTTTTAGGTATTTGTTTTAAAATTTTATAGCCAATAAATTGGCAATTTTAATTTGTAATTTTAGTTTTTAATTGTTGATTGTGATTTGTTTGAATTTTGAAAATCAAAATCAAAAACTCAACTATTAAACGGAGGCTTGAGTAAAGTCATTCTTAGTTTCAACCTTTTTTCCATCAATTTCACTTTTATGCTCTTGAAACTTCTAGTGATACATAAACCACGGTGGATTCCTTCGTTCCCACATTTTTTTCTTCAACAAAGGGAAATGTGGGGATGGAAAAACACACACA